CTACTACTACTACTACGGCTACTACGGCTACGACGACTACCACGACTAAAACGACTACCACTACTACGACGACTACGAGGACGACTACGACGACAACAACTACTACTGCTACTACTGCTGCCATGTCGCTGCTGATGCGCTACTAATTCTCCCCCTGGTACGACTACGAACTTCCTGTCTGTCCTGGTGGCTCATTCTCGACGTGTACCAACAAGCAATGCATGCACAAATAGTGGCCTCTGCAGCTTCGCAAGCACCCCGTCGATGGGCTCCTGATGCCAAGCGATTCAAAGGGGCCATGCTTCAATTCGGGCTTCTGCCCCCGGTGTGGAATAAGTAGCCAGTGATTAGCATGATCTGAGGTTCTGGGGTGGGAACCTAGCAACCATGTGTCGTTGTACCCGGCCAGTACTAGACGTGTTTCTTTCTTGCTTTCTTTGACTATCCCTGAGCCTTGTGTTGTGTCATGCTGTGTTGCTGCAGGCTGAAGATGCTTTGAAACGCTATGCCCTCTGGATGCCTCGTGGAAGAGAATGTGGTTGACAAGAGCTGCCGGGCCCATAGCAGGTGACGGACCGATGATGTCCATGTATTCATCTTTCAATGTTTTGGCGCCGGATACTTTCATCTCCAGGCCATCCTGGAGGTAGGACAAATCTAGGTTCCTTAAGACCTTGCGGCTGTCAACGTAGATCTCGAGGTAGAAGGAGTTGGCATGGCAGGCGTGCTCGGCACAAATGCCCTCTTGCTCGAGGATTTCTTCGATGTAGCCAGCATCTTCCACCGAGTTGTGTCTGGCCACGAACTCCAGGGCATATTCTACAAACATTGTTGCGCACATAGGTGAGTTTGTCAGGATTGTGCAAAGGCTTTTGCTTGAAAGGGCATATACATCTGCGAATGAAATAGTCTGCAAGCTGTATCCGTGCATGGCTGCTTCCACGTAGAGGGCAACTTCCGCAAAGTATCGAAACTCGTCGGCAAAGACATATGGAGAAGCGTTGTTGTTCGAGATGTTCACCGCGAATTTACCAGCCCAAGTCAAGTACATATTCTCGGCAAAGGCGCCTGCAGAGAACACGAACTCCGCCTCACAAAAGAAGATCCTCTCCAAGACGCGGCAGATATCCTTGAAGACCTCCGGGAAGACATGGGCTGCCAAGTCAAGCACAGGATGCTGCTGGAGCTGGCCCCCGAGCTGCAAAAAAGCGAGCTCCTTCTCAAGCCTTGGAGATACTAAGCTGGCGTCGAAATTGAGTTGAGAATGCCACCCAAGCTTGTAATCTGCATAGCTCATGACACGCATCGTCATGCCAGTGGGCACGCCCTTAGTCTGAAGGTAAATTCTGAGTTGACGCCGCCTTCGACTGTTTTCACTGCTCACCTGCCTAATCTCATTGAGGGTCCCGGTCACAATGGATAAGGCCGAGCCAATGACAAGCACGACGGTGATGAAAAGCAACACGCACGCATAGTGCTCCATGGTACTGTCCGGCTCAAGCACTGGCGGATTAGGCATCAAAAGGATCCAGGCCACTGCATGCACGTACTGATCTGCAGGTGGCAGACTCCTCAAGCACGCAAGAGACGATGACATTCTTGTGCTGACTACTAAGAACAAAAACACTTCTTGATCATTCTAATGGTATGTGGCTCAATTGGTTCCAGGTCCCAGGGATAAACTCTCCCGCGATATAGAAAAAACCATGAAACAACAAGACGCCCTGGGACCTGTGAATCCTTGAGGCGAAGGTTCCTCACTGCCGAAACCCTCTTAAAGCTACCCTTGATAGACCATTGACTGCCAAGATTCGCGATCCCTGCCAGGTCGAGCCAGCTTCTCTCGGAGCTGTTCGAAACGGATTGACCTAAAGCATACCAAATGCAGGCCAAAATATGGGCCACGGCTGCAATCGACACCACAACCCTGCCCACCGTCAAAGTCAAAATCAGAGAGTAATTCCCGGTGGCGATCACCAGGTTCTCAAGAATCACGCTGATTTTCCCGATCTTAAGAATGCGCAGAACCCGAAGCATCTGTAGCATCCGCAAGGTTTGAGACAAACTGTCATTCCGCTCCGACGTAATGCATGCAGCGACGTCCAGTGCCACCATCGTGATGTCGAAGGCAAACCACGTTGTAAGGTATCGCATTGCGATTTCCGATTTCTTGAGGCGCAAGTGGCCCTTTCTGTAAAACCCTGTGTTAAAATCCAAGATGATATCAAGGGGCCATAGAATGAGGGTAGACGCAGAGAAGACCTGCAGGAAAGCTGCCATTGAACCTGCGTCCGCAGCATGGCCAGGTGAAAAAGTCACGCTCCAGGCAGTGCAAAGTGGCAGAATACATATTTCAAAGCCAATTACGAAACTAATGGCCGTATCCCAGGCGAGACGGAATTTGTCATCCGGCAGCAGGACCCTGCAGTACGCTGGATCACTGATGTCAGCGCTGAACGTGCGAGATCTGGTGGCTGTTTTGGGGATGTCTCTGCTTGATGTCCATCGGCCCTTGCCGATGGCCTCCACAGCTTCTTCAGCCTTCATGGACAGCTCCATCAGGTGGGAGTTCAAGCGTAGGTGTGAATGGCGGGTGCTATCACGTTCTAGCTGTGAAGTTGCCGACCGCTGTAACGACAAGGCTGCCGGAGACAAGGTGTTTGCATCTTCGTCGCCCATGCTGGGACTCTCATTCATCACCCAGGTCTCTTCCTTCAGCACCCAGGACTGCTGGCCTGTGAAGGCCTCCAGGCCATCTTCCGACTTTGTCCTGCTTCTGTCTTCCAGGTCCTCTACGGCTTCCCGCAGGTGCTTCACCTGCTCCTGGATCCCTGCAAAGGCACCCTGCAGCGCATCGTCCAATTCACGAAGTCGATGAGTCACGGAGGTCCTCGGATCCCGGATGTACCAGCAACCAAGCTAACATAAGCTAACACAGCCAACACCGGTGACTGCCGACAACCACAAAGCCTTTCCGAATTCATAGTAGCATCTGCATCCAAGGTTTGATTCTTGAAAACCGGTGATGGTAAACACGAACAAGACCAAGCCGAGCAAATGTCGCGCACGTGCACTTGAGCCTTCGCAGCTTCCGGGCTTGCAGTCAGAGTCAACATTTGCATGACTTGAGCTGGCAGCCGTGAACTATCCGACATGACTGCAGTGAGGACATGTGAGGCTAGGCACCTCCCCTTCATTTTTACAAGCCACCCCATCACGTCTGCGATGGCTTCCCAAAAGAAGCAGTGTCTCGTGCAAGACAGTCTCCGTCAAAGGCGGCAGCTTGCACCATTGGCATGCCATGAAACACGCTGACATGACATGCTCATATGGAGCAGCTGCAAACTCAGCAGACGCAAGCCGGCTCCGGGACAAAAAGAACCACGCAAGCCTCCAGTGACTCTGAAAAGATGCCAAGATAGCCTCGTACGACACGGAGTTGGGCTGTACAGAATTCTGAATTCGGCACCACAGGGCAAGTGCATGACGCCATTGAAGTGATTTGCTGTATGCCTTCCAGGCAGAGTTGTAGGTGATGAGCGTAACCTGAAGAGACGTATGATAGAGTTCGTGGAGAAGGTGCGCTGCTTTTCTCCACCGCGCGCTCTTTGCGCAAGTGCTCAAAGTTGTGTTGTATGTGATGCGGTCTGGCAGCTGTCTTATGTGATGGAACTGTTGGAGGCATTGGAATGCTCCCAGCCACAGCACCGCCCTGTCACACGTGCTTAACAAGGCGTTCAAAGTGACCTCATTTGGCTGAAGCCACTCTGCAGCAATCTGGCTTGTGAGAACAGCAGCATGAGCCCACTGAATAGCACGTGCACAAGCGGTGAGTGCCGCGCTGTGCGCAAAGGTATCTCCAAGCATGTTATGTCCAGTCGGCCATCGGAGCAAGCGCGAGGCAAACTCCCAGGCCCCTTCCCTCTCACAGGCACTGATTGCTGCATTCTGGGCAATGATGCTACGTCCTGGCCTTGTTCCAAGGCAGATGAGACTCAACAGCATGCGGAGAGCATCATGCCACCTCTGAGAAATGATAAGGGCAGTGATGGGCCGCTCCTGTCTGTCGGGCAGAGCCAGCGCCAATGCCCGCTGCCACTCGGACTCCCTCGTTTCTATCGCTGCAGTCACTGCCATGGTTGTGGTCAGGGTGATCAAATCTGGGTGTAAGCCCCTTACATGAAGCTCGTTGACCTGCATGAAAGCACGTGGCCAAGCCGAGGACTTGGCTGATATGTCGACGCATGAGTTGTGTGATGCAGTGCTGCATCGCACACTCGAGAGTGGCATTTGAGCCAAAAGCAGCAATCCAGCCGGCCAAGAACCACACGAGCTGATCTGTGAATTGCACATCAGAGTGTCAGCAAGGATGCCAGATCCGCCCAGAAGTTGCAGGAAGATGGCAGCCGTTTCCCAGGCCAATGCATCAGAGCATGCCCTGGTGCAGCTACTGAAGGCAATAACATCTGGTTCTAAGTTTTGCAGCTGGAAACCATGAAGAACAAATAGGGATCTCCACCAAAGCATGTGTGCCCTGTGCACACAGCTCATGATATTGCCCACAACTGTGTTCATTTTGAGGCCAGCTTGAAAGCTCCAATCCTGCACTCCCAGAGCTTGCCTCCACTGCTTCTCCTTCTCGCATGCAGTCAGAACTGCACCTTCTGCAAGCACACTAACCTGCAGAGAGTTCTCTGGCATATGTGACAGACTGCGCCAAGCTTTTGCCCACAGGGCTGCCTCGGCGTAGTTGCAAATCGACGTGGTGCATGTCACAGGATCGTAGTTGAGGTCTCGTTGACGAAGCTCTTGCAATTTCATAGTTGCCAAAGCCCAAATGTGCTGGTTGACGCAGGCTTGCATGCTGGCATTGAATGTGACGGTGTTTAACCGGGTCGAGCTTCTGCAGCAAGCTCGCACGATGTCTAGAGCCCTGTCCCACGTGGTAGCACGACCGCAGGAGCTGATGCAAGAATTGTACGACACAGTGTCCGGAGACACTCTTGCAGAAAACATGACTGGAATCGCTGCCAAAGCTTTTTTCCAGCTTCCGAGACTGATGGCCTGGTTATATCTAAGAACCTCCGGCGTTGCCTGCGTCGCAGTGGCCACGGCCATGGCGCGATGGAGTCACTCTCCTAGGCACCTCACGCAAGGAGCCAAGCTCCTGAAGGCAGAAGCGCAGTGCAAGAAATCAACTTCAGATGGGCCAGAAGAGCCATCATCAGCGTTCTTGAGCCAAAGCCTCTGTGTACAGGACAGCAAGAGATCTGAATTGCAGAAACCGTCATGGCCGTTTGGACTCTCAAGCATGTGTGACAAGCCTGCCGGCAAGTCTGGCACATTTTTGTCCACGTATCATCATCTGTTGAACAGGAGAGCACCTATGGTTTATTCCCACCGAAGCCCACAACAGATTGACAACGACGTCTATGCCTGAAGAAAAAATAATGTAACACCTTTATGTCAACGCTCTCACTATGCACAGCTGGCATAGCTTCAACACGAGGTACGATTCCGGTATCGTCGTTCAAAGGCTTTGCCACAGCGACCGGACCTTCTTCGAGACTTGAAAACAAAAGTGAGCTTGTTGGCCTAGGTGTGTCTTTGACCTCGCTTAGGCAACTCGCACCTGACAAAAAAATGTATGCTTGGCTGCCCCACAAATCGCAACAAGTGTACACTTGCTGCTAGCATCCCTTTCATGTCTGCAAGTGTTGAACAGGAGCCTGCAACGCAGCTGCCAAACACCTCAAAAATGGCATTGAACCAAGACTTGCTGCTGAGTTGGGTTGTTCGTGTCCTCCCTCTGTCTAGACTTGTACACGAGCTCCCGCACGGAGCCTGCGAGTAGCACAATGTCAGAAGGGGGCTCGGTAACTCTCCGCCAGTTCTCCTGTGACACGTCCACACAGAACCTTTCCTCCCTGAGGCTTAGAGTGGCACGAGCGAGGCATGTCTGGAAAACGTAGCTGTTTTGCACCATCAAGATGAAAGCCGCCAAATCTGCCAGGTCCACGGTGACAATTTTATGGTCTTTGGGGGCTGCCGATCGAACGGCCTGAAGTAGTTCGACCAAAACCTGCAAGAGCGTTCGAACTGTGACAAAAGGATTGGACCGAGCTCGCTCCAAGCAAAGTGGAAGGAATTCACAAACGATTGCCGGGGTCGTTATGCCGTCGGCCAGGAAGTGCTTCGTCAGCTCTACTTGTTCCTGTGCTGTGAGATGGTCCCAGGCATCTTGAAGCCGTGCCAAGTCGTCCGCCGTCTGAGCCCGGCAGTTGCAGGCCAAGCGCAGCAATGCCAAGTCCGATGGCTGCTCGGCACGTCTGCTTAGTTCAAGCCCCCTGTGGTGGATGTACGTCCAGTACAAGGGTGCCGGGTCCTGCTCGAGGACGTGCTTCAGCATGGCCAATCCCAAAATTGTGGTTTTGGCATTCCGCCGGGTCATAAAGCAGGACCCTTGGCCGCCGGCCAACCCACTCATAAACCCGAGGAGGTAGAGGATGTAGAACTTCAGCAGCTCTTCACCCCCACGCGGTTGTATGGCTTCCTTGAGGTCCCGGAGGTTGGCAGGCACATTTTCACCCTGGAGCATCTGGGCAAAGTTAAATGTGCCGAGCATCTTCAACAGGTTCCTGACCAGATGCTGGACATTGCTACCCAAGCTGGCAGAAGACGGAACCGCCAACGGAAACGACTCGAGTATGTACTTCATCGCCTTCTCTGGGCGCTGATGGCCCACTGGAAGCTGCCGAGTTAGTGATCTGTACTTGCTCACGCCCTTGACTGCGAGCAGGAAGATTACCGCAAGCAGCTTTTGGTCGGTGGCCTCCGTCCATTCAAAGAGATCCCGCAAGTTTTGCCACTGAATGTTGGTTAGGCGGCTTTCTGGTGGCTGCACCGCCGTGTACCTGAGCTGAGGACCATGGTAAGATCGCTGCATATTACAGTAACTGTAACTGTCACATACAATTCTTGGAAGAAGTCGGCCCGGAAACGCGCGAGTTACAAAAGGCGCAAGTTCCGAAATCTACCAGGTGGCATGTTGTAGTCGTCCCGGACGATGGCCACGAGGCTGAGAATGGCAGATTCCGCTCTTTCCTGCTCCTTCGAGTCGGAGAATCTGGCATGCAACCCCGAATCTGGATCAAGCTCGACAAAAGCCTCGCGCAAGCTTGCGAGCGTCTCCTCAGCACTCTCTGTGCTGTAGACCACTGAAGTCACGAAGTCCATGGGGGCCAAAAAGCCAGCAAAGTCATCGCCAGCTCCGCGGAGCTGTGCTGCTGGCTGAAAATCTCGATTCTGAGAATCATCTAAGTCCTGCTGACCAGACAAAACATGGCCCATGGTAATGGACTTGACTGCGGGACTCTGCAGATCTGATAGGTCCAGTGTGTCCAAGACCAGGCGACTGTCCACATTCACCTCGAGATAGAAGGAGTTGCATGCGCAAGCAGCTTTCGCGCACGATTGTTCTTGTTCGATGATATCCCACACGCATACCTGAGAAGTAGCTGAGGCAGACGAAAACCGCACAATGTAGTCATTGGCATACTCCACGACCATCGTTGTGCACAGGGGTGAGGCCGCAAGTATTCTGGCAAAATCTGAAGCTGTAAGCGAGAAGACTTCGGAAAAGGACTGAGTGTGCAAAGTGTAGCCGTGCATCACAGCCTCCACATACAAGGAGATCTCGGCAAAGCATTGGCAATCGTCCTCGAAGAAGACCTGATCATGCGCAAACACCTCAGCCGTCAACTTAAAGGTGCCATGGTTGCTGACGTACATCTTCTCGGCCAATGAGCCCTCGCTGAAGACGGCCTCACCCTCGCAGAAGAAATGCTTGTTCAATGTGCGGCAGCACTCGGCGAAGACAGAGGGATACGATGACGACACAAACGAAAATAACGGATGGGTATTCAGAACGGAGCCGAACTGAGATGTGGCCAATTCTGCCTCAAGCATCGGTGAGATCAAGCTGGAATCATAACCAAC